AAGGGCAAGGCAAGGCAGGCAGTGGGTCCTCAGAGAAAACTCCTGAAAATCGGGTCGTTGTCTACCCCGGGGGTCCCTGCTGTCAAATCGCCTTTGTTTCCAGGCTCTCGTTTTGCTGCGTATTTTGACGTGAGGGATAAGCACTAGTTTATACGGTTCCTTCCTTTCAGGGGACTCCAGAGGCGCCTCGTGTGTGACGTGCGAGGGTCTGGCGCTGCAGCTGTGCGGAAGCACCGAGCGATGCTCCCGAGGAGCAGGGCGGGAGAAGGAATCGTGTTAGCCTCCTGCAGCACACCTTGTTTTCTCCCTTGCTGCCAGAGCCCGACTACTCTGACATCTCCAGACTGCCTCAAAGACATGACGAGCGTCACCTTCCAGGCACAGCAGAGCGCTCTGACTTGGACGTCTGACCTGTGTTTGGGGAACTCAGAGACAGAGAAACAGCTGCCGAGAAGCTAAGGCCCAGCACCGACACTGACCCCTGCCTGTCCCAGCTGCTGGTGTGCCTGTGTAACCCGTCCTTTCTTACAGCAGCATGCAGCAGCTTGCGCATTCAGAACACAACAAAAATGCAAACTATACCCTTTCCACGTCAAAACCCTCCACTGAACACACACTTGTGCCTTGAGGGAGAGGATGAATCATGTATGACAGACGTCAGTCACATCACTTAATGCCTCATGTGGAAGGCACTGGGATATTACTACAATGGGGGCAATGTAAGAGGCAGAACAGAATAAACCTGGAAGGGGAATTGAGACAGAAAGATCAAGCCTAGCCAAGATGGATTATCACCAGGGCACTGGAGTGCAGAGCCTCTGCACTGCAAAACAATCATGCAGATATATAGTAACTGTGGACATTTTCTCTGTTAGCTGACCAAAGTCAGGGAATGATTGAAGGTTTTCATTGCAACGAATGCACTTTGTGACAGTGTTCTAAGAAAAAACTCAGAAGGACCAGAGGAGGACAAAGGACTCCTCCCCTGACTCTGTAAATCAGCACCAATGCCATCAAGGTGTTGCTCCTTTCCTTTCTGCTTCTGTCTCCCCAAATACATTTCTGAGGCTGGTGGTGCTTTCATGCTGCCCCTTCAGAGACACTGAGAGAAACTGCTTAATACATTTTAGGGACTTACCTGTTGGAAATTTTCTCAGAGCCCACGTATAGGGCACTCCTCATGAGTCCAGCCCGAGTGCCCAGAAATGCCATCTCAACACCTGCCTCAGACTCCCTGTGGAACAGAAACACACAAGCAGGAGCAAACAGTTCTCAGAAGAACAGCCATCTCCCTGCCCCAGAGTGAGGGCCTTTCAAACTAGAAGTCACAGCTGGAGACACGGTCCCAGGTTCATTTGTGATATAACCCATTTACGCCAGGAGTGACACTGGCTCCTCCCTGCTAATGGCAACAGCTTGTTACTGGCTAACAATTCACAGGCTTAGATGTGTACCTAGATTGACACCTTTGAAATCTGCTCATTTCATTCTCTTGTAGATAGACCATAAGCTGCTCTCCTCCTACTAGCCCTGCTCCAGGCTGCCCGCATGCGGCTGAAGAGAGGGAGAGGAACTGCAGAGGGACAACGGCTGTATCAGGCGTGCAGAGGATGGGCAGGGTAGCAGAATGACTCTGAAGCAGTACATTGATTCTGGTGCATCTTGCTGGAGGTATCAAGGGCATAGATGGAACAGCTACATGGTGCAGAGCCAGCTGCAGTGTGGTAGCCCTAAAGTGAGGAGGGTGCGTTGGTGTAGCTGTTTAAAGATGTGCTGATAATTGGGTGTCCTAGCACGATTGCCACTGGCTCAGCCTCTGTTAGTGGCAGGGTTACTGGTAACTGAAAGAGGGACAGGAGTCCTGTAGCCACACATCTGTGTAAGTAGCATGTTGTCTGCTGAAAGAAGATCTGTGTGACATGATACTAGTATCATACTACGAGCAACAGGTGCCTCACTGGAAATTATAACATAGAAAGTTGTTTACTGAAGCCAGCCTGTCCACTCCTGAGGCTCAATGTGAAGGCGTCACCAGCAGAGGCAAGGTCAAACTCCCTTTTCTTCGCTGATGGTAAGGGAGCAAATTCCTTGCCACTCGAGATGGAACTTCTGCTACAGTCGTATGGGAGGTGGAGCCAAACCATGCTGCTGCCGTTCAAAGGGATAATTGATGCATGGAGAAACCATTCGCAATAACCTTAAACTGAAATTGTCTCAGGTGCCCTGAGATACTAAACTCTGTCAATTAGAGAGGGAAATGCAGTGCATCTGAGTTAGGTGCTGCAAAGAGCTGGTGCTGAACACCCTTTGCAGTGACACATCTGAATCACTGCTGTCCTCCAATGACATTCAGACACGAGTTGTGTTAATGTTGCATTACCAAAAAATCCCTCACCAAACTAAAGAGTCTCCCGAGAAGGCCCAGCCTTCTGGAGTCCACTCCTGAGAGACACTTTTTGAGTTATTTCTAAAGCTATTGAGCTAATTTTATCAGGTTTTTGAGCTATTTCTGAAGTTTCTTATATGCTGTACAAGGGTCTGTGACTGTTTCCAGCATAGCATAAGCCCATAGCATCTGGAGATGCACCTTCAATGATGTTTAACCCATACTTATTTCTCATACACTTACAAGGACATATTGAGGGCTAGTGCTGTCCAGTAGGCCTCCATGGGTGCAGTGACCACTGCGTCAAACAGCACTTCCTGGACCAGCTCCTCATCACCTAAGAAGAAGGGAGAAGAAAAATCAGGAGGGAAAGATGTGTTCCTCCCTAGACGTCTTAGCGTGTCCCTTGTTAAGCAGCATCTGCCTGGCCAGGACGGTGGAGCAACATGGCGCAAAAAGAGGCCTCGCGTTACAGGGCTGAGAACAGGACCTGCCACCCTGAATGGTGGAGAGCGCAGGATCACATGTTACAGCTAAGATCATCCAACTGGTTCCCCTGCAATCTCGAGGGAAGGGTTTGGGTTTGAAAGAGTGGGCAAGTGAGAGACTTTCAAACGAAGTTATCCATCAGACTTCACTCTGACCTTCTCCTTGACTGAACAGGCTGTCCACAGCCATTGCTTCAAATCCCTGCCTTGACCTTTCTTCTGGGTGCCCTGGAGAGAGGGCACCAGCAACCCCATTCCACTTGAGAAGCTTTCTCCAAAACCACTAGTGACTTCTTCATGGCCTCTACTCTGTCGTTGTGGTCATTAGCTGCTCTATTAGCCCTCCTTCCTTCCTGTAAGTCTTACAAAACACTGTCCTGCCCTGGTTTCTACCAGATGCTCAGGCCAGTCTAGGCTACCAATCTAATCCACTCTGGACTGGAACTGAGAAGTGTTTAGGAAGGTTTGAGGTATCATCATGTGCTAAATGACATACTCTAAAGCCCGATTTATTTGACCTGCTTCATTTCTGTATTGCCCTGCTTGTGTTCATCTACTGAGAGTATGTGATGGCTATGGTACTGCAGATATGGCCCTTTCAGTGCTGTTCTAGATTAAGCCATCCCCACCACTTCGGTGTTTCTGGCTCAACTTTTTGGGTTGAGGTCACAGTCTCCCCCAGTGTTTTCTCCCAAGTTCTCCCAACTTCCTTTCTCCTTTCTTTGTCAGGATCAATCTCTCCATCGTTGTTGTCCTTCAGGCCTCAAAACCAGAGCTCACCACCAGATCTTTCCCTCCCCAGGCCCCACATGTCTAGGAGGTGTCCATCATATCTGTTTTTCCTCCACAGCACTTCCAAGTCTGCATATTTCTCATAGTCAGCTCTCCTGAAATTTTCCTCCTCCTCCCTGGCCTCTTCAACTCATACATCTTTTCAGCCTGCTCCAAAGACAGTCAGGAGGGGTCTGCTCACACTGTGCAAGAGAGGAACAATTATTGGATTACATCTGATTTTAGTTTTAAGAGATTCCCATCTTTGTGCCAAAGGTTTATGCCTCTTAGGTGGAGCATTACAAGCAAAAGCTTGTACTTGGCACAACTTAGGGGGCTGAAGCCATGGAGAGTGAGGTGGGCGGAAGGACATCCTAGAGCTAAATTGCTGTAGGGAGTTCCTATGCACAGCTGCCCACCTCTGCCCCCTGACAGAGATCCCACTCTGTAGTGGTGCTGTGCCAGCTGCTTGTGAGGCTACACGTCGCCTGGAGCATGGGACCTGGTGCAAACAATGAGTACCAGGGGGAGCAGGAAAGATAATCATTCTGTAATGATTTTTGCCTTGAGTCATTTACCAATCGTGTTTGTTAAACAAAATTAATAATCCTTGTTCTGAAAGAGCCCATCTGTCTAGATGGCACCATGCAGCCTTTGGAGAATGCTGGTTGGGGCCCTGGGGAGCAGAGTAGTCACAGCAGCTTTCCTGGCTCCTCCTGCCATCGCCCCTTCTAGCCCAGCTGGTCAGTCTGTCTTAAACGTGGTGTGCAGCCCCCGCCAAGCTCCATTCAAGCCTTTCACCTTTCAGTATTTCCTATGCTGAAACCTTCAAGAAGGCCAAGTCATGTGACAGCTTTGAAATGGGAAAAAAACCCCTCTGATGGAGACAAGGAAGTGGATCCTCAGCTCATTTCCACTTGTGAATTAAGGTGGTCCTGAGTTCTGTCCTGCCTGTCTGAGCAGGTGCCACAGGAGCTCATTCTGGCACCAATCAGTTTGTCACAGTCCCCTCTCCTCCGTGATGGGTACAGGAAAACCCCAGCAGGGCCCTTTTGGTGCCTGGGACTCACATTCAAGGTCAGGTTCCTCTCCGGTGAGGAAACGGATCACAGCCTCCAGCTGGCTGAGCTTCCGGTGGGCTGGATCGATGTCGGTGATGCAGTAAATCCTGGTGGGGAGGGGAGAAGAAGCCCGCAAGGACAAAGAGAAGGCAGAGTCAAGCAAACGCTCCTGGGAAATAATAACTGCAAGCAAAAATTCAGAGAGGAAGCTTGGGCTGCAAAGATTTTGCCCCTGCTGCATGCCGTGCCCACTCAAAATCTGATAATGTGGTTGTAAGTCAAACCCTACCAATAAACCAAACACCAATGAATCTGGCTGCTGTGCTGAATAGGGCTGTTGTTATGTTCTCCAGCATAAGCTCACAATGCAACATAGCAGTCCCAAATCCTTCCAGCAGTTATCTGTATTGTATGTGGTGTAAGTTGTGTACCTGTGTCTATATAAACACTAACAATGTGATGGAGAGGCCCGAAAAGCAGAGAGTCATGTGCAATGTGAGTAAGACCAGACTGGGAGCAGAAAATGCAAAAGACGGAGAACAAAATGTGAGATGAGGGATGATCTTGCAGTGTGATACGGCGGCAGCAAAAGCTGTCCCAAAGGGACACAGCTGCAGGGGCCTCGGGACACAGTTTGGGGAGAAGTGGGAGAATGTAGTACAAATGCTTTGTGTCATAAAAGAAATCAGTCTTCTAGTCCTGCTTCCAATTTTGACCACTTTGTTGTCAGGACAAGGGAGAAGAAGGGGTTATAAAAGAGAGTTACAACTCGTAAAGGGGCTGAAAGGAGCAATTTATGAGAGAGGTCTAAAAGAAATTAATATGTAAAGTGTGGTAAGCTGACACCCCAAGTTAGGAGTAGAAGAAGGAGAAGTCACTGTTTGCGTCTCAAATGCGCTGCCTGTGAAACCTGACAGTGCAATGAGAGGTGTGAAGGACTGCAAGGCTCCTTGAATGTAGTTATTTTGGCTTTGATACAGACTGGGTTCATGTGCCTGAGTGTAACTGAGTGCTGGGTTCACGAAAATCCCAAACCTCACAGCAATAAATGGAAAGTGCCATGCTTCACCCTGTTTCATATCCAAACCAAGCAAAACCATAAATTATGCTGGCTATTGAAAATGGGGTCATAAATCACCTCCATGTTCACTAGAAATTAGGTCTAGGCTCAGTTCAGAGGAATGCCAGCCAAAAATAAGCTAGGATTTAGCAAAGGCTTTCAACCTCTCACCAAGCTTGCAACAAAATTTCCTGACAGGTCTGACACACTGTAGGTTTTGTAGCACAATTCTGAGCGACACAAGGAGGAATGAAGTAAGTCTGAGCACAGAAGACTGAGCAGAGATCTCAGGAGATGTTTCTTAGCAGAGGGATGTGCCAGCCCTTGGTGGGATCTCCCGAAGGAGGAGGTGGGACTGAATTGCCTGGAGACAATCAGGCCTTTGCAGGTGCAGCCCCTGAACAACACTGCTTTTTCTCTAGGCCACAGAGGGTGGGGAACTCAAGCCAAATTGCTGGGAACTTTGCCAGAATCTGATGACAACGCCCTGTGTCGTTGACAGGATTTCCTCCACTTACCATTCGTTCGCTAAAGACAAGTCTGGCTGGAGCAGGTCGTGCAAGCCTGAAACCAGGTAACACAGAGAGTATTCAGTTAGGTAGCAGGCAGGCAGCGACAGGCTGTGAAGCAGCGAAGCCGTGCAGGTCAGAGTAGCTACCTTGTCCCTTAGGACAGCATGGCTGTTTCGGATTAACCTACCTTCTTCCACTGAAGTGTTCCCCAGCAGAATGTACTCCCCGTGTCCCCTGGACAGTACAACACCCAGGCTGCGGACACGAAGAACAGAGGCCTTGTCAGCAAGGAGAGGTGTAATCCCTAGATGTGACACTGCATTCTCTGCAATTACAATCCTTAAAGACAGTGACTCCCTCCACAGCCATTAAAGAACATCATCAAAAGAGGATTAAGTGAGATCTGATTTCAGCACAAGAGGCTAAGGAACCTGTTTGTAGAACTACGAGGCATTTTTGCTGACTATTCTTTCGGCCAATGTTGTAGCTTCAGGTCAACAATAACATTTCTCAGTTCTGCGCCAATTTCAATCCATTTCAGCCGGGGAAACACCACAAAAAAATTTAGCCTGATTTCTTCTGTGATGTTTTATAATTTTCAGTTTATACCAAAGTTTTGTTTAGAGCCATACACCAGAACATGAAACGTACTCAGTGGAACTGAAAATTGAAGATATCTCATTTCTCTGAAATTAAACAACATGCTTCACCTAAGGTACAGCTTTTGGACCCTGAACTTCAGATAAATCATAATAGTCCTTTTCAGTTGACCTCAAACAATATTTTAACGGCTGCAGGAACAACGAAGTCAGTTATTCACACTGATCTACTCAGGAGTCGTAGCCAGCTTTATGAAGAAAAGGGTCGAATTTGCTGTCTGTGATGGCAGACTTCTGATACACCATATTGGTGTCATGTAAGTCCTTGCTCACCTGAAGGGTGTGTCACTGATGTCCGTGAAGAAATAATCATTGGTGAGGAAGAGAACTCGTTTCTGGAATGAAAGCAAGAATAAGAAGGTGAGAGACCATCTGACAGACCAAGAACATAGTGAAGATGAGGACCTGGGATATACATCCCCAGGCTAAGCAAAAGCGGTTGAACATTACCAACACTTCACACCCTGCTAGGGCTGGCTGGAGGCAGGGATGAATGTGCAGTATTCAGCATATTCAGCAACTCTGACTTTCGGGATCCAGGCAGCCACTCTGCCTTTCCATCTAAGGCTTCAGTTAAAGCTTTCTTTGCTCTAGGGCCCCTGCACAGGCTGCAGGAAGGGGTGGGGGGAAGCTGCCCTCCCTCTCGCACCCTCTGAGCCAACGTGCTGGGGCCCTGCTGCTCTTTCGCTGTCCAGAGCAACCCTGATGGCTTTGCACATCATCATCATCCCAAGCAAGAGCAGGGGCTCAGTGGAGCACGTAGGAAGGAGAGGTGGGGTGGGAGGAGAGGCAGGAAGGCAGACCTACCCACTGTGTGGGTGCGCAGCCAGGGCCAAGTCTCCCCACTCCTGTGGGAAATGCTGAGATTCCTGACATTTGCTTTCATGCCAAACTGGGACAAAACATTATCATGTTCCAATTTTGTTAAAAAACATCAGTTAAAAAAAAAATTTACGTTCTCAAATTAAACAAAAGTACTGATTCAAATCCAAGGCGTTTTAATTCTCATGAAAATATTTTTTTCAGACTGACGTTGCAACTGAAGACATTTCAGATTATTGAAAGCTGCTTCAGAACTTCAGCTGTTTGCCAGACTGGCCTTTTCCTGTAGGAAAGTGTTGATTTCAGTGGAACTCTTTTCCAAAGGAGAAAAGTTTTTGGAAACTTTCTAGCCAACCCTTATGCCAGTGTATGAACCCTGATGTGTTTAAAACCCCAGCTCCAGTCTGAAAACGAGGTGAGAGGATGTGGGTGGGAGACAGGGAGTGAACACACGAATCTCAGTGCTCCCCAGGGAAAGCTGTGCCTGCTCTGACCGGCTCAAGCCGTGCAGCAGAAGTGGAGCGAGGCACAAAGAGCAAACCAGCGCCAGCTCCACAGTGTACCCCGAGTTTGTGCACACAGTGGATGGGCTGATGGGCATGGGGTTTATTGTTAGGTGAGGAGGTGGCCAAGGGCTCAACTCCTTCCCTCCCCTCCCTCTGCATGCATGGCAATTGCGTACTGCTCAGCAACAGGGTCCGAGTCTTCTGCTGAGCCAAGATGTTTCAGAAGTGCTGTGATACCCCTAGGAACACGGTGTGGTGGGGTATTGGTGGCTGTGGGGAAAGTACAAGAGGTATTAAGCCTCCCTTTCCTTGCCAGTCTGATCTGATGGTGGGGGAGGGGGGCCAGGGGGAGGGGGATGGGGACATGACAGGGGACACAGGAGAGGGGATGGCTGGCCAGCTCTCCCCAAGACAGCTGGAGGTTTCACCGCTTATCTGCGGGAAGGAAGAAAAGCAGAGCACCCTTGAGCCAAGCAGGGCTGAGGACGATCAGGTAGGACTTTGCTCCATAGCACAGAACAAGGGAGAAAAGAAGAACATGGGCACGTTGGCACAACGATAGGATGGCTGACAACCCGTGCCTGCGGTCTGGGAACACCTGTGTTTCCAGTTCTGGTACTGTCACTGTACTAGGCAGTCAGTCCTGGCTAATACCATTGTCAATGGTTTGCCACAGCTCCTACCCATGTCCTCACTCTTTTGCTTTCACAGTCACAAGCCTTTTGTACCCTAGTTGCAAGCAAAGGCACTTTTGCCACTAGATCTCTAACAACCGCCCCTTATCTTTGGTCCTTGTTTTTCCCTCTCTGTCTCACTCCACTCTCAATACCTTCCTGAGATCAGCCTGGGTAATCAACGCTTACATGGCTGTCAGAATAATTTCTGTTCCCTTCACTCAGCCCTTCTCTCTGCCATCTGACTGCCTCATTCTCTTTGTTTCAAGGCTCTGTCAGTGCTTTGTTTCAACGCTGCTCTGCTTCATCAGCTAACAGAGTACAAGTGGGACTTGCTCGGTTTCACTTCTGGTCCTCAGTCCGTGTGTATTCTGACAATAGTAAAACTGTGACATACTCAGCTTCGGTCTCCTATTATGCTACATAACACTTGCAGAGTTGCAGAATAAAACAGGTAATCTCTCTTACCAAGGCTACTGTTTGTTATCTTTTTCCCCCAGGCAGGGAAGCAGAAAGATGTTCCTAAAATATTGAACTAAAAAGGTTATCTTTAGATGACTCAGAAGAAATGTTGTTGAGGGTGCACAGACAAAGAAAGAGGTTAAGCTAGCGAAATAAGCAATCTAGACTTACAAATAATAGATCTTGCTGGAAAACTCTGATTGCTTTTCTGCCAGAATAACAAAGGTAATGGATGAAGGCAATAAAGGACGTGCAATGTATCTGGGCTTATATGACACACTTAAAACAGCTTCTCATGAAATTTTATTCTAAAGAATCACTTTAAGTGGGCTTAAATAGGATGTGGAGTGAGAACCAGCTGCAGTACTGTAAACAAAAAGGAACAGTAAACAACAGGGCATTGAAGGAAAAAGATCTAACGCGAGGAACAGACAGACTCTGTCTTAGGAGCCCTTATGTGCAGTGATCTGTAAGACAAAATAAAACAACAATTCTCTGCATAGTGAGAAAAAGTCCCAACAGCCCTAAAAATTAGAAAGACTGGACAAAAAGGAGTGGTATTCAGGTGGAAAAATGGCAACTTGAAAGAACAGTTAAGAAACATGGAAACCAAGGCAGCTGTTCTGCTGCAGCTGTGGGAGAGAAAAAAACGTGAGGGACAGCAGAAAGGAGATTTGGGGCTCCCTGTTCAGAAATATTGTATTGCAGAGAATAGATGTTCTCTACAGAGAAACAGTAGTCAAATAATTCAGTGAAGCCTTGGTGCTTCTGTACCAGAAAATATACAAGAGACAAAAGGAACAAAAAGACTTGCTGAACTGCTTGGACAGAAAAGTGTTTCAAATGCAGATGTTGGCAATGCCCAGGAGAGGAAGGGCAAAGCCTTTGACAGGTAGCTGGTAGTTGTAAACACCAAGAACAGAAAGAGTTTTTAGCTACAAGACCTATCAGTGCAACCATTCGGGGGAAACGGAGCGATGTCTTCATTAGGAAATGGCATCATTTCAGCAGTGGCTGTGAGCAGTTGCTTCATTGGACTTGGTGCCAACTGCGGCTTAGCATGGGAGCAGATCGGCTAGCCTGATCGCTGAAAAAAATGCTCTTTGTAAAAAATGGAAAATTGTCCTGAAATATGGAAGCCTTCTGGGCAGTATAACTTGCAGGACTGTGGAATGCTTCCTAACAGGAGATGATGAAAGCCGAAATCTTTGGGAGAGTTAAATAAACCTGAATGAAAAAGTACCAGTGAATGTAAATGTACAAGACAATTTTGGACTGATTCCAAGGGAAGATGTATAACCCTACATTAAAGCTAGTAGGGAATGTTCAAAAGTCTCCGTTTCGCTAGAACTTTTCATAAAATGTCTGTAAATATTTGCATAGAAATTTAATCCTGGACCTGGATAAAGGAAATCACTTTCTAACAGAGCGAGGGACAGAGTTTTCATGAGTGTTTTTGGGTCAGGAAAGGGAGTTGCAAAATAGCTTCCAAACCACTCTCTGTCTACGTCAGCTCAGCATAGTCTTTCCTTATTCTAAACCCTGGAAGATCTCCAATTCGTTTCACAGACCTAGAAACAATGAACACCACGGATTTTGGCTTTGCCTGGACAAAGTAGGGAGCTGTGAAGCATTTCCAATACCTTTGTAAGGGCAGAATGTCAGTAGGTATAAGAAGCACTTCTAACAATGATCTATTTTATGTCTTTAGCACATGTTATATAGGCAGTGAAACAATAAAATCCTCACACTCAGAAATGCTGAGCATTAAAACCACATCCTTTGTGGTTCTTCAGCGTCCATTTCCCATCCCCTCTCTCACGTGACCAGAAGAGAAGGATAGTTTCTTACGCCTTTATCCACTGGAACCTTCACATCCATAGAGAGGTAGCCTGTTTCCCCGTTGATCATGGCAGTTCTCAGCTGTGGAGGTGAACAAGATTAGTGTTAGTGTCTCCAGGCAGGCCAGGCCAGGAATTTATAGAGCCACTTGTCATTAACAAACAGGGGCTGGCAGAAAAGAGTGACTGTGTTCCTCTCCCCCCAGCTCTTTCGTACTTCTTTTAAACTGAGAACCTGTTTTCAGTGGTCAGGATCCTTGTTCAGTCAGGCTGATAAGGGACACAGAATGACAACGGCTTATGGTGAAACCTTGTTGATACATCTTTTTAGTGAAAGGAAAGGATCTGGAAGCTATGAAATTGCCAGTCTAAGTTTCAGACTTCACCGTTTGGCAGCCAGAAAGTCATTAGCACAGTGCTTTGAAAGCCGGGAAGAGACACCTGAGAAACCCACTAACTCCCCCAGACTGATTCCAAAGATCTTAGACATTTTTTAAACTGATTTATAAATAATATGCTGTGTTCAGCACCACTTCTGAGGTGCAGCAGAGCAAGACTGTATAACAGCAGAGTAGGCCGCAAGAAGACCACCTTGTTCAATCCCGGCTCCAAGGGCAAAATGTAATTTTCACAGTGACTCCCAGCCTCTCACAAGAAAGAGCCAGCCAGGGAATTCTTCCACAAATGCAGAGGCTTTAACTTTGTATCCAGCCTTCCAGAGCCTATCAGCCTGGGTAGAAAAAAAGGTGGGAAGTAACTTATTCATTCGCAGGAATTCCTTCCTCACTTGCAGAGACAGGCCCCCGTTCAGGTGCTGGCCAATCTCAACTGCATTTATTTTACAAGGACACAGTTCTGTTTACTATGGCTGTTTGATGTGGGTTATTTACAGACCTAGAATATAAAGCTTGTGTTTCCCAAGGCCCACGTCTTGGAAATCAAAACACTTACTGGTACCATTACTCCTTTTTTGCTAAGAGCATTTGACCTCCTGCCAGAGCCACAGCATGCTCTCAGCTCTGGTCTGACAGCCTGCAGCATTTTCTGTGGGTTCTCGGTTTAGTTCAGATGTTGTTGCTTCATCCGTATCTTCTTGAATGTCGGGCATCTCTCATTGCCACATAAGGCACTGGAGAAGTAAATCAGTGGATATCTGAGATCTCCTTGGATGTCCTCAGCTCCAGCTAGTCTGCAGGCAGGCTACTTGTTCTGTGCCCAGCCCCCAGGTGACAGTGGCTGTAGGCTGGTGCCACAATCCTGGCTTGCTGCTTCTTCCTCCATAGCTTTTCCTGCATTGAGAAGTCAGTTACAGTCCTGGTGCCTGGGTCCCCCCATAATGCTCAGTCCTTTTTAGGCAGGGCACTTCTGGCCATGGCTGGCCTCCACTTTAAAAAATGTGTAGCAGAGTTTGGATGGAGAGGTGGTCTGGTGCATGCTGAAGCACTCATTCCCAGCACCCCAAACAGCAAACTCTCCGGCTCCAGGACAAGCGGTCTGTGCCGTCCCCATCACTGGTAACAAGTGCTGCTGACACCTTTACCAGGTCTACTTGTGTGGTTTCAAACCAACACAGACATACAGTTTACCTGAGGGGCTCTCACAACATCTAGGTGTTTTGCCACTCATTTTCAACATCTTTGCAGACTGATTTCTTCTTCAGTGGTTCTGTCAAGGCTGAAGAAAATGTTTGGGTGACAGCTCCTAGACTGCTGGGGAGGATCTCTCAACCTTTCCCTTCTCCCCTCACACTGAGAACCTCCCCGTGTTGCTTTATAAGCAAGCCCAGACTTCCTTGCTGCCTAGCTGCAGAGAGTACTGTTGTGCATCGGTTGGTATTTCCCAGACAGTGCCATCTTCCCTCCTGTGCATTTCTTTTTAGCAGCTGGCTGTATTACACATCATTAGCACTTGGGCATATTTTTCCAGTCTGAATTTGCTGCTTATCAGTGTTGCTGAGATTATGCTGCAACTGATGTTGAGTCTGTCATTGATCTAATACCATAGCTGCAAATCTAAGTGTTGAAGCGTTGGCAGCTTTCTGCTGCAGTGGGTGTATCTCGAGAGTCTCTAGACTTGCTGAAGTCACACTGCAGATATCAGTCACGTCGCGGAATGTCTCTGTGCCCTCAGTGACTGCAACCTTTCTTTCTTCTGGAAGATGCAGTACAGGAACATGAAGTGGCTTTGTTTTTCTTTTGACTGTTTTTTTTTTCACTGAGTAATTTTACTCTGATTGCCTACAGACAGAAACCTTACACTTCGCATCGTATGCGCATTCAGGTATCAATGTTATTTGGTTGGACAGGAACCTGCTGTTCAAATAAATAGCACAGCAAAGAAAAGTCCTCTCATTTCCTGGATTTTTTTTTTAAATTGAAGCAGAGAGCCTGGAAGACATCAGCAAACCCACAGCAAGCCACTGGCAACCTGCACCTGCTGGTTCTACTGCATGTAAAGCCTCTTATTTGTGTCTTGCTTTCCACATTTCACAGCCAGTCCTGTTGGATTTCCTTTCTCAATTTGCCACTCTTCCACTTCCCAAGTCCCCTTGGTGTGGCCCTTTGTACTTGGCCTGTACTAGCGACAGTAGCTACGTTGATCCTCTTGCTGGGCAGTTGGTTGTCTTACCTGTTTAAGTGGTTATCTATAGCATCAGATCCGTTTATCTTAGCAGTCTCCCCTGTAATCCAGAAGCATGTGTCCCACAGCTAATTCTATCTTACTCCAAATTCAGTTCTTATCTTAGTAACTTAAGTACCTATTATCTCCTAATTGTTGTAAAAGAAAACAGCCACAGAGGAACCTCTCTACCTTCTTCTTATATCTGGGTTCCTAGTTGTGCAACGTGGCAATGTGCAGTCATTAAGGTAGATGCTGTTTCTTGTTTATCACTTTTTAATAATTTTGCTTGAAGGATAGTAGAAAAGGTATTTTCTAATATTTTCCCTCTGGTCAGCTATAGTTTTCAGTGCCTCTACACCTGTGCAATAAGGTGATTTCTGGGAACTTGTTTTTCTCAAGTGTCTATGCCCGTTATCCTCTTTGTCTATTATTAATAGTGACTGCAAACTTTAGCCTCTTTATGAATGCACGTTCTTCCTTGTTGCAGATCTCATTAGTTGAGTGGTTTCAGCTGTATCTCACATACTACATGTATGGGTAAGGTCATGGGACATCGCCATACTCGTAAGCTATCTTGGCTTTGTATTAAGGCAGCATTTGGGCCATGTACACACAGACTGGCTCCCTGGAGCACTCTCTGAAGTGCTTCCTTCCTCTTGCCAGAGCTTTTCCTCCCTGTTCCATGAGAAGGAAAACTTGTACTGGGAAGGAAGACAAGCACTTTGCAGGGGAGCATCATTCTTGTCCTCTTGCAGACCACTAGCCTCTCTGAGTCAGGGCCAGTCTGGCACAGAAAAGCCAGGAGTGCCTGCTGCCTGTTGCTCCTCTACCCCTTCCATACACGCACACAAAGTAATAGAAAAAAGGAGCTGCAAAAAAGGCTAAATTCACTTTCTGATACTCACTATTTCATCTTGGTCTTCCCATTCCACTTCTGAGAGATCTACGCTGTTGTAGTTTGGCTTAGGCTTCAGTTTCTTTCCTTCTTTATACTGGCATTTATTGGAAAAGAAAAAAGAGAAAAACACCAAAGTTAGTGGCTAGGTAACTTCCTAAACTAACCCTTTAAGAATTGATATCTAATTTGAAAAATAGAGGTGTCTCATTTATTCTCTGACTGGGAAGGCAGCCTTTGGGTGCAAGTGCCTTCTTGGTCCCATGCCATGTATTTCTTTATGCAGGCACTGTGGGGCTGATCCAGGAGCAAGAGACATGCAGAAACACAGGTCAACTCGCAGGTAAAGGCTACAGCCTCCTTTGTGAGAATATTCTTCTAAATAGATCAGTACAATACATGTGCCTCCAGGAAATCAATTTTTTTTCCCACAGCTAAGGGTGCAATCCCATTAACACTATAATAGCAGCAGGAGGACTTTTCCGATGGGATTTAGGCTTTGGCTCCACTGACAGAAAGGCAGGCTTTTCACCTAGGGCTAGCTGATGCAAAAGAGCTATTTCCCTGTAACCTTCCGTGTGAAGGAAAAGGTGTGAAGCAAACTAAGAGAGGCCATTTTTAGGTGGAGGATAAAGCAGTGCCCTTGCCTTGCCCCATCCTGGAAATAGGATGTGTTCTTTCTTCTCATACAGTGAAGCAACTGCCTGTGCCTGGAGCATCCCTGGGCAAAGCTGCCTTTTGGAAGACAGCTGCTGTGAGGCCCCGTGGCGGCACCGTCTCGTGCCAGGAACCACAAGCACGCTTCCAGCTGTGCGCAGGTGGGTTTGTGCTGACAGGCACAGGGATGAAATGTAAAAACATTGTGTGCCTGAGTACCTGAGTAAGGAGGCCAGTTGTGCTTTCGCAGAGAGATGTGCAGTCTGGAGCACCAAGTGGCACTGCGAGGGAGGAATGCTGCCCTGGGGTCCGCTCCCTTGAGTCCCAGAAGGTCTTTGCAGCCTGCTGGTCTCTAAATTGTCTCTGATCTAACACGTTACTAAGATTTGTGGTACTGGACCCTGCTAGCCTCAGTTTCTCAAAATGCCCAACACTACAGCTGCTGGGTAGCTGTTACCGTGGTGCTGCTTATGCTGAATCTTCTTATAGGAGGTACGCCTGAGCGAGGGGAAATTTTTCTTCAGTCTGGCAGTGAAACCTTGCACGGACGCGGATATACATGCCCTCACATCACAGCAAGTGCACACAAATACAGGTCTCACATGCACTCTTATGAAGAATAGACAGGCAGGGTACCTGACACTGCATACACGTGTGTGTGCATATATACATCTACGCATGCAGAATTGATTTCTCTGGGCCTCATGCCCCTGGGTGCCTGTATATCAGAGCCTGGTAGCCTTCACAGCTCAAGAATATATGAGAAAACAAAAGCATCCCTGAAAGCCTCTGTTGCCAAGTGAGCAAACATTCTCAAATTCACAGCTATACATACCAAGGGACGGAGGTCTGGGTGTGAAAGGATGTAGCCGTTGTTGGTGTTCAGAAAGGCGTATCCATGGACACCCAGCTGGAGAAAGAGGCATTAGAATAATTAGTGCTTTAGCTAGAAACATTGCTGTGTAATGGGTGCTACCAATACCCCGATACCACCAATACTCAGAAATATTTTCCTTTTAAAGGTACTGATCAATAAAAAATAGGGTCCATCCCAAACCGTTTGTCTCTGGATCTCTGTCCGCTGTCTGAGCAGGCTGACTATGCTTGGATGGACAAAAGGGTGGGCAGGTAGTTGGTTTGTGTACAGATTCAGAAAAAGATGCCCTCCTAGAGTCTGATTGTCTGCATGGACAATTACCACCCAGAGGCAGAAGCAGCTCTCCACAGCAGGCAGAGCAGTGCTGCACAGAAAATGGGCAATGATGGGGAATGTCATAAACAGCAGAGGAACAGCGGTGACGAGTCTGTATGCCCACCACTACATACGCACAGCAGCGAACGAACAAGAGCATGAATGTCATAGAGGGCTTCCCTGGAAACCCGGTCGGCCTTCAGAGGAGCTCTGCATCGTGTTTCAGTGTTGGCAAGACCAGACCTAGCCTAGGCCAAGTGTACAAGCCTGTAGTCTTAAAATGCTGTTTAAGGAACAGCATAATCTAACAAGAGCAGACACTGCCTGACCTGATCTGCAAGAGATTTCTGAGAAAGCGATTACTCAGATCAAGCCCATATATAATACAAATTCCAGCTAAACCCTGAGCTGCTAAAAACCCACTGGTAGTCTGCACTTGCCAAAACAAGAGGTGTCTCAAGGAAAACAAGAATGGCTAAGGTTTCTGTCTTCAAAAAACTGTTGCAACTTTATATTGCTATAGAGACAATCCTGGAGGGCTAACAATAGGGAAGTGGGGACGTAAGTAATTTACAATCCATCTGTGCCTTTTTGGAGGGAATGAATTCTGTATTTCACACATCCCAGATCAAAACTTTGGACTCTTTCTACGTGAAACAGTTTTTTGCAAAGCACACTGAGCTCAGCTCAGCGTGGTAGGAATGAAACCAAGACATTGAAGCAGGAATACAGCAAACTTCCTTGCTGGCCTATTAAAGCTGAAGTTTTCCAGTTCAGTAAGTGCAATCGTGAATGTATGAGCTCTCAAGGGCTGTAACTCTGGAACTGGTCCTTTGTAACCCGTATGTAAGGGGATTCAAGTTGAGGATCCTAGGATTCCAAACTGGTCTGGAGTTAGAAGAGCTCCTGGGGAGTTGTGTCCTGCCTCTGAAGTAAAGAAATCCTTCAGATGATTTTTCCCTCCTTCCCTGGCACTGACTGGCAGAAAGACCAGTGTCCCTCCTTGGCCCAGAAGAAAGATTATTGTGACACATGGCCTTTGAGTGACATGGAGGGAGGAAGATGAAAAGGCATTAGTCTTCTAGACAAAAATAAACATGAGTTGTGGGTTTGTGTGGCAAGGTTTTGGTGGCGGGGGGGCTACAAGAGGGTGGCTACTGTGAGAAGCTGCTAGAAGCTTCCCCCGTGTCTGATAAAGCCAGTGCCAGCTGGCTCTCAGACGGACCCGCTGCTGGCCCAGGGCGAGGC